AGGTGCACACTGCTAAAGAGTCCTATACTAGGACAAAACAGCTATCTAGTGCTCCCAGGTTTCCAACGTTCCTCTAACTGATGTCGGTCCATGATGAATGCCAACTTGTATTCTCTTTGCCTTACTGTCTCAAAGGCATATATATATATATAAAATCATCAGTATATACTTCTTAAAGAAGTAAAGAATTTTCAAGTTACATGAACGTTTATGAATGTTAATTAAATGATCCAAAGCGTTACTGACTTATGGATACGAGTGATCCGTCCTCCTTTTTTTTATATCAGAAGTTGACCTTTATGATTATTATCATTTCACATATACTGTTGATCTTATATTTAGTTATTGATTTTCAGTCTGCCGATCTCTTCCTAGTGATCCGTATATTGAATCAATGTTCACTTATCTGTTTATTGCAATTTAATTGGAGTTATTTTACAGTTTTAGATCTTGCTTGTTTTAGGATTCCAACGTTGTCTGAATTGAATTTGTGGTTAGGCTCATCGATGAGGTATATCACATTGTCTGATTGGAAGTTAGTGCTGATAAATTCTCTGGGCTATTTGTTGGCTGGATTGACCAGCATAGTGATGTTGATAATCTTTGCAACTGATTTTGTAGGTTATATTCGTTTTGTCGTCTTTGGTTAGTGGATCCTTTAGTTTACATATTGTTCTTCAGGGATTTGGTTGATTAGTTTGCTATGCTGATACCTAATAGGCGAAGTGACTAGTTGACAGTTTCCGGGATATATTTGATATATAAGTAAAACCAGTGTTCTTTTGTGTTGAGATGGTTTTCTTGATGTATATTCGATTGATAGGCATTTCAGGATGAAGTTGATTGAATAGTGATGGTTTTCCTTCTGAAGTTGTTGAATGCTGTAGTGACTCTTGGCACATGTGAATATTGCTTGTACACAACTCTTCTTATGAGATATTGAGTTATGACTTTCATAGTTCAAAATCTGATCTCTGTATCACGTTCCTGCTTGTAAGGTTTTATTATGATGGAGCCTCACATGATTAAACTTGAGATGTTGAAACAGTTAAGTTACTGTCGATATCGTATACCCTAATGTATGGTTTTCAGTATAACCAATTCTTGCAGATAATTCAGTCTCAGCTGTTAGATAACATCTATTCATTGTGTTGATTAGATTATCTCCGACATCTTGGGTTTGAGAGACTTAATTAAGAGAGTGAAAACGGAAGGTCAAAGGAAATCTAAATTCCTCGGGAGCTCGTATGAGCCCTCTTCCATGAATATTTTCGCCTTAAAAGAAGCGTACCTTCCTAATGTCATAATTTTTGTAAAGCAAATAAAGCTATATTTTCACGGTTGTGTGGATCACTTTTGTATGCTCAGCATTAGAAATGTCTCAAATGAATCCACAATATGCTGATTCTCTTCACAAGAAAATGAAGTATTCAGTATTTATTTTCCTTTCCAGCAGTCATCAATTATGCCACCTGCAGATTGGTCGAAAGGTTGACCTTTTTTCCTCTGCTTGTTTCCTTCAGTATCATTGTGTTACTCAAAAACATGATATCAATATTATTATTACTATTTAGAGGTAGTATTCATCACCGACTGATATCAGTTGGGGAACCACTGAAAATCTGAGAGCACTGGATAGCTGTTTTGTCCTGGTATGAGACTCCTCAGGAGTACGCACCCGTGACCCCGCCTCACCAGGGGTCGAACTCAAGACCTTCAGGTTTCACGGCAGACCAGTTAACCATTCAGTCACTGGATCGGTTTTCAATGGTTCAAAGTTTTCAACTTCTGTCAATTCACTACATAGCGCGATTTTCACCCAAGGTCATCAGTTGCCATCGGCTTCCCTTACCACTGGCTAACCCCGTAATTCACGGCTTCTCATTAGAACTTCGTGATGTCCATCCGGAAGCATGTCACTAATGAGCACTATACAGTAATGTATTTCTGAGATGAATGAGGATTTTAATTTTGAGGTAGTTTTCATCACGGACTGACATCAGTTAGGGAACCATTGAAAATCTGGGGGCACTGAACAACTCTTTCGTCCTAGTATGGGACTCCTCGTCAGTACGCACTCACGATCCGGTAAGAGATCGAACTCAAGACCTTCAGGTTGTTTTTCTTATCGAAAAGTATGAGAATTAGCCTGTGATGAAGTAATGATTTTAATATGCACTTGAGATTTTGGAAGTTGAAAGGAAACCTAGAGAACAGATTGAAGTGTTGAACACAACGACCGTTGTTTTCACTCCCATGATATATTCGATTTTTTTTGGTGTAACCACCATTTCATTATAAATTTGAAAGAAAATGAATAAGATAGGCAAGCGTCAGGTAATAAATCAAAATTGTATTACTGGCAGTTTTTATATTCACCAAGTGAGCAGTTATATATCCAATTTCTGAACATTATTTTCCATTCATTCTGTTAAAGTGTGCAGTTCTCTAATACATTCAGTGTACTTTTACATGTACAGAAACACAAGTAAGGTGTATAAGTTATTTTAAGTACATTTACCTTGATTATAATGTAATAAAGTACAGTGTATAATCCTTAGATGTTGTTCTAGCTAATCTATTGTTGATTACTAACTGATATGTATCCAAAACAACCTTTTTCTTTGAAAAATGATAGGAATATCTTTACTGACTAGCCAAGAAAAAGGTATTTATTTGCTTGAATTGGTCAGCAATGAAAGTGAAACATAAACATAGTTAAAACTACACGCCAGTTATCACAGAATTAGGCCTTATGGTTGGTGGATTAGAAGCCTAGTACTATACTGATTGAGCTACAAAATGTAATTTAGGCATACATCTTGGTTTCACTACATTGATTGTGAGTTTTGTCCTACTGTTATCTGATTGATTAACCTACTGTTTATTAGGCTATCAGTGACTAGAATGAAATTGCAACTTGGTCATCTGTTCGATCTGATTGCTCAGTTAATAAGGGATTGGGTTGGTAACTTATTGGTTGTTTATAAAGCATGAAATTCTCAGCAGGTTCATTAGCGGAACTGTATGTTCAAATGAAATGAATACTACATCCTAGTGGTGTTAATAATAGCACTATTAAATGCAATGATGTCGAACAGTCAGTTAGTGTTGAGTTAGCTTATAATCTAGAATCGAAAGGATATACAGAAGATTGAATGTAAGCTAGGTAGGTGGTGACAGCTCATTCAAACAGTACAAGAATCTGCTATTTGAGCTTATCGTCCCAGGAGTAGAAATAAAGATCAACTTTTACACAACAAAAAGTTCATTTTCATTGAACTTGACATTTTTCTTCTTCATTATGTTATGTAGTTGACAGATGTCTAGCTAAAAATATTTTAAAATTGTCTATGACCACATGGCATATTTAGAAGACACAGTTAAATGATAATAACTAATTGAAAGCAAATAATTTGACGTATATGTTCGGAAGGATAATTTTAATAACCTAAAGTTGAAGCAATGTTACACAGACTTGAAGTTCTACAGGTAAAAACTAACAAGTTGACAGAAGATGCAGCGAAGACAGGACTTCAAGTGAATATAGAGAAGACAGATGTGATGATAATACCCAACCAACAACAAACTCCGATCACCATAAACGGGAGAAACTTAAAGAAAGTAGCCTCTTTCACCTATCTAGGCAGCACAGACGATGACGTCAAAGCCAGCCAGGATCAGAAAAGCAAGACAGGTGTTCATTAACCTGAAACCAGTGTGATGATCTTCTGCACTCAGCATGTGGAACAAGATGTGGGTTTTCAACACTAATTCAATCAAGTCAGTGCCTCTATATGGTTGTTCAGAGACTTGGCGGGTTACGAAAGGGATTTCAAACAAACTACAGATATTCATCAACAACTGCCTACGCTCACTCGTTACTGAAGATCACATTGCTAGAGGGAACCAGCAACAAGGAACTCTGGCTGGCGACGAACCAAACAAGAAACTACCACTCAAGAAATATGCAGAAGAAAGTGGTGATGGATTGGGCGTACTCTGGGAAGACCGACTGGGGACATCACGCGTCAGGCCATGCCCTCGAGTGGAACCTAGATGGGAAGCGACGAGTTGGGAGTCCGAGGTGAGGGTGACATGGAGGAGATGGTGTGAGGAAGAAATGAGAGCTTCTGGGCTGTCGTGGAGACAGGTTCAAAAGATTTTAGAGAAGAGAGTGCACTGGAGACGTGCTGCTGAAGCCCTATGTTCCATTAGGAACCCAAGGGACAAATAATATAATAATAAAGTTGAAGCAGATCACCAGGTTTCAAAGTGAAAATGACCTATCTAACTTTATCTATTTCAGCTAGTCTAATTAACTACTGTTGAACTCTTATTCATTCACTGAAATTCTCAAACCTAATGCATATGAGCATCCATTGTTAATAGTTGAAGATCAGATGTTATGTTCAAAATCTGTTCAGAATTGTTTTTCGAATATCTTGAAAATATAATTTATCTTATCAAGGAATTATTTATCATAAACTGAAATTAGTTAGAGAACAACCGGTGAAAAAGCAGGAGCACTGGTCAACTGTTTCCTCCTCATTCGGGACTCCTCAGCAGTGTACACCGATCGTCTAGCCAAGGATTTAACTCATGATCATCAATAACAAAACAAATGTCCAGTACTCTTAGGTTTTCAGTGTTTCTCTAATTGATGTCACTTTTTGATGAATACCACCTTGAAATAAATAAAATCTCAAACTAAAGTAAATCTCTTTCTTACTGTTTCTCTGTATAAACTGAGTTATCTATCCTAGAGTTAGTCGATTTCATATGAAGACAGTTATCTCATTGGTTTTCATTTTAATATTTTATTCGATTTATAACTTGGCACATTGCCAAATCATTTCCACTCCATTCTTTTGTACATAATAATGAGTTGAAGGAGAGATATGTAAAGTCTCGCTTATCAAAAATTCTTTGCGCGTAATTTCCCACTTTTTTTTCTTATAAAAAAAAATTGATTAATTCTTTTATATTTTTGCAAATAGCATTGCTATTCACCCTGATCGTATTACTGTTGCTACTGGTCAGTCTGCAGGACATGATAAACAATTTGGAAAGGTGAGTGGTTACAGTGCTGTACTATTTTTCTCGGTTTGTATTTCTTCTCTCCTTTTGACACATGTTATATCATAAAACTGAAAGAAAGCAAACTCTTTGAGTTGTTTTACAATTGCTTTCCAAGTATTCCTGTAAAGTTCCTCAGGTTGTCCAATATCTATAATTATATACAGGAAAGTTGTTGTAAAATGAAACTATGCATGTGCACATACTTGAAATACATAGAAAACACATGTTGTTGCTGATGTTTCTGGAGTAGATGTGTAAAAATCTTAGTTTTAAATGTATACATAGTTCAGAATTCTTTCTGTTTTATTACGCAGTTGTCACTTAAGGACTTTCTTAGGTGTAAAGGTGGCGGAAAGTGGTAGTTTGTTTCGAATATCTGTCTAGCCATATGAATATATCAATCTGACTATCTGAGACAATTAGATTGTTAATCGAATCGATGTTCCCACCCTTCCCTCTCATTAATTCAAGCAGATTTCGCTTTGGATGACTAGTTTTGGCAGGCAACCAGTGTGAGTTAACTTCTCATGTATTCACAAAGTAGTCCTGCAAAACCCTTGTTGATCTGAGTGAAATGAAAATCTGATCAGGAGTCGGGTCTGGTAGCTCAGTTGGTAGAGAAAACTGGACCGGGAACCAAGTAGTTGGTTGTTGAGATCCTGGCTTGACCCAGATTTTCATTTTACTTTCAATCATCACGCAGTACCAAGATGGATTGGATTAGACACCTACTTTAGCCTGGACGTTAGAGTTTTTATAAATTCCCCATAGTTTATCTGTCTTGTGGGTTAGTTCGCAAGGTTATGTATTAGATTACTGAGCCATACTGTTCATCGCATTTCTGCTAATTATTTCAGCTTGTAATCATTATATCCAGAAAAGATATTGGGTGTAAAAGATATTCTTGTTGAGATTCTGTTATCGTCACATAGTCATTAAAAATTAGTGATCGTTTTCAAGCAAAGTCGGAGTATAGATTATAAAGCATGTCTGATCTCTGGGGGTTTGGGGTATTAGAAAGTTGCATTTTTCAAGACCATATGGTACTGTAGTGGGCGCTACTAATCAGAATGAATATAAGTAGTATATGTTGAGAAGTAGGTAGTAATTATAGGGAGCTACCAGCAATGAGTAGAGATTCTGCCCAGAGAAACACAAAAGACAATTTGGGCGTATGAAGAGCAAATCAAGATAGAAGCAGAAGAGGAAATGAAGCACATCGTGCAAATGACTGTTTTAGTGGAAAGTGTACATTCTCTCATCACTGCTGTACAAGATGTCAAAATAAATATTCTTTCCTGCGTTTCAGTCTTGTCCTTTCCTAAATTACTATAAAGATGTAATACATTCGTATACCTCCGTCCAAATCTATTGAAGTATTCTCAGGTTTATCTGAGGGAAGCCTTATGAAATTTACTATTTTCAAGCAGCTTCACTTAACGTATATTTAACTGGGACTACAAAAATGGAATGGTTGACTCACTCTGTATTGTGTTTGTTAGGATTCTGGGATACAGTTAATTTTAAGATGCATAATCTAGTTACTGGACGAACAATACATTATTCGATAACTGACTCCCAGTTGACACAAGAAGATGGCAGAGTTGGATTGATATGAGTCTACTCCAATCGAAGTATGAAGATAAAACTCAAGAACACAAGTTTTACGTTTATACACAATGTATGCACATTTAAGGCGAGTGGACAAAACACCATATCAAAAGTGTGAGAGGCTAACCAATAGAAAAACATCATTCCTAAAAGCGGTAAAATTGATCAATACACTTGGGATGGAAAAGGATACGAGAAAGGTGTAACATATCCAACAGTTTTCATGTTTATAATAAAGTTATTTGTAGTACGAAGTATATTCTGGCACAATCGATTTCTAATATTTGGGAAAGTTTTGTCTAGTAACGTTAATCTTCACACAGTAACAGTTCATATTCTATAGGCCATGTATATATTTGATACAGTGATGCTTAAAATAAACATTTTTTGAAGTAAGCAAATCATTATAGTTAGTTGTGAAAAAAAGGTTAATGAGAGTTAAACGAAGTACTCTCATTCATGATTATCTTTAAATAAGTTTATATTAACTTAAACTGTAATTTGGACATCATATTCGCAACATATGATAGTCGCATAGCAACGTCTTTTATACTCTGAGACAAATTCTTAAGTGAAATCTACAGATATATGGTGTCACTATATGATTTCTGGGTAACAGTATATTCTGAAGTACGAGTGAAAAATGGAAAAGTGTTTTTATTGGATCTACAAAATTGATAGTCCTGAAGCTTTTGTGTGTGATCGATATGTTCAGCTTAGCAAATCTTGTCACTTGACATTTTTGATTGTATTGAAAGTGTACAAGTTAACATGGCGGTTGAAATTAAATCAATCTAAGATATCGTCAACTGATGAAAGTATATGGAAATAAGTTAATCAATGATCGGCAATCCGTTAGCCTTCAGATATTTCTTTAACAATTTCGGATAGTGGCTGACTGTGGAATCCAAAACGCATGATATTATCCTATTTGAGACCCAAATAAGATGAAACATGTGGCCAGACTAAAACATGGCATCAGTGCATGAAGACCTTGACTGTTGGTTTGAGCCATTTGAGGTCTGGGGACAAAAGAAACTAGTGGTTAGAGACTGACTCTAGATGATATGGTTCAGAATAAAACTTACGAGTACTAGAGGACTATTTCACCCTTGTTCGGGACTCCTCAGCAGTCCACGTCCCTGTGAGGGATCGAACCCATCAACTTCAGTTTTCGTGGTGAGTGAACTTGGTGAACTACTCGATTTCAACCCAGTGGCTGGATTGTAATGTGCCCTGTGCTAAGCCTGATGACCTTAGGCTTCATCTCTTTCTGGGTTGTAGTTTCGCTCTACGAAGGGGTCCCCTGCTGGGACGAAACTGCTATTCAGTGTTCATATATTTTCAATGATCCTCCAAGTGGTGTCACTTCATGATTAAAACTAATTTTAAATCATTCAATCCCTACAAACTATCAACTGAAAATTCTACTGTTTACAGCCTATTATATTGTAATGAACTTTTGAATGTCTTCAATTTGTTGTACTAAATAAAAATTGATCTTTTTGTCATCTCCTGAACAACAAAAATGGTTATTCTACCTAATTCTTCACCCTCCTCCATCCTCCTAATTATTGTTTATATATATATACAGCCGCATGTAAGAATTTGGAGTTCTGTGGATTTGAAAACACTTAAAATTATTGGTTTAGGTGAATTCGAACGTTCAGTGTGTTGTCTATCCTTTTCTAAAACAGTGAGTTAATTTTCTGTTAAAAACATTTTTTATAAACTTTTAATGCATACAGTTTTATTTAGCTAACTTTTTTTGCCATATTTTTGCTTACCAATGAGAAGAGGAAACATAGCATTGATTGAATGCTAATTTATACTGGGTAATGATTGAGAGTGAAATGAAAATTTGAACCATATATGGATTCGAACCAGCGACCACCGAGTTTCCGGTCCGATGCTCTACCAACTGAGAAACGAGGTCCGGCCGCGGTCCAAATTTTCATCTCACCTTCGATCATCACCCAATATAAATATTAGTCTACCAAACTACGACTATCTGACATAGTTGAAATGATAATCAATAGGATGCTCCTCCTGATTAAACAGTCAGCGTGAATACGATTAAGGCGTAGTAACACGTCACGAATTCACATGGTAGTCGAGGGCAAAATCCATGGTGATTAAAGTGGAATAAAAATGTGGTCAACAGTTGGGCCTTGTAGCTCAGTTAGTACCCGGTGTCGCTTGTTTGAATCCCGCCGTGGTCTAAATTTTCATTTCACTTTGAATCTTCACCGAGTAAAAATACTAGTTTGTTAAACCACAGCTATCTCGGATAGTCAAAATGATAATGAATGCTAATTATTTTTGTGATAAAATATGATAATGAATGCTTATTCTCTGTGTGTACATGTCTATGTAAGAGTATTTGCTTTGTTCATGTCAGTTTTGATTAGTAATCAGTCTAAGTGAAATGAAATTAAGTGAAGAAAAGAATGTTGATTGCAAACTTCATATACTAGCGAAGTGTTTAAGTTGTTCAATCTTAGGGATGTTCAGTTTCTTAGTTGTTCTACTAACCATTATATCTGGTGGGAAGACAGAGATGAAGACAGACAAAATCAACTTAGAATCTTGTACAGAAGTCCATCTATTCCATTTGCCACGCTTCACAGTGGTCAGAAACAGTCTGATATCACAGTAGACAAAGATGTATGAGAGGAAAAGGAAAATATTCAAGCTTTAGAAGAGGTCATTGTGACCAAGTTTTAACCATGTTAACAAGAATCCTCAACCGCTGATTCCTTCCCTCTGTTACTAGGCAGTTAGTCTACACCTCGTTGCATGGCTCATTCTAAGAGTTATGGATCCCCTCTGCTGGTTCCAGGTCTTAGCCTGGCCATCCTGAACCCTCTTACAACCTAATCCAAACCCCCCCTCCCCCCTGGCATTGCACGTCAAGATAGGCAGTGATTGGGCTTGCGCAGTACATTTGCAAACCTCAGCCTATGAAGGTTGACAACCGTATCAGTTACCAGCCTTACCTAGTACCTTTCGCCTGACCTCGACATTACTAACATGGTGATTCCACCGAATGTGAGTATTGCTACGAAGACACCTGTGATCAAAGACCTATAATTGCTTCGTGTCTTCTACTTCTAACAGTTATGTCTCATAGTTGTATAATAGGACACAATTGAGTGCAGTGCACCACGAATGATGCGGGCGAGCAAATACCAAACAGGCTTTCGGTGCGCGAGTCCAGATTTCGTCAATAGCGAGCCCATTCGATCTACACATTCCACCAATTTGCTTCCTATCCTTAAAACTGGAGTGGTGATGTCTTAGCCAAAAACCTCACTGACTGACTTTTGCAGACATCTTGTCTTTATGAAAAAGCGCCTTGCAAAAGTCAGTATTTTTCAATTGACGAATGATATCGATTGGATAAAACATAATTGGAAGACATTTGTAGAATAAAATAAGCTCATTTCACGGCCTTTCATCAGCTGCAAACACCGTACAATTAAATTGAAATGTTATTGGTAATAATGACACAACATACTTTAAATATGTAGAAATAGGTGAAGATCCGAGGCAATACAGAATTAACAATCACAAATCTTAGTCAAAACTAAAGACAATTTGGTGAGAATCTGGTGAGATAGAAATTTCTGAAGCTGTGAAAAGGAACGAGGATAACAAACAGACAGAAGTGTAGTCTGAGTGATTAACAGTCAGTAAGTTATTCATGTAGGTATGATGCAATCAAAGGAAACTATATACACAGATATGCAAAATTACCAGAGGTAAATTATAGGTAAATTATAGTGTCTATCAGAGTACATTCATCAGGTTGAAAATATTTGATGATGAGAGCTTTCTCAAACCATAATAAACATTGCGTTCATTGTTTGTTGATTATCCTGAAGGATTCAGAAACATCTATTTGACATTCTGCTACTATCAGGTGCCTGGCGATTGCGCTGGTAAAGACCATGCTCATAAAATTGTATAGACGCCCTTCTTTTCGGTCCCTCCTTATGTACTTAGTTCCACAGTTGAAGGTGATATGACCTGGATATTTGTCTATCTTCGACTGTGTTATTGAGCATACTGTTATGTAAAGTGAAATCAGTCTTACAGCTAAAATTCTCCTTATTTTATTTCTATATAGATTGAAACTATAATTCTGAACTGTTTAAGTTTTGGATCATGTTTAGTTATCCTTAGGTACCCAGCTTCTTTTGTGAATTATTCTTATCTTTCTCTTAAGGTGATAGGAAATTAACTTCAGCTGGCTTAAAGCCTGTCTTAATAACTTCAAAATATTCAAGTAGTTAGTATCGTCAACTCATAAACACAGTTTCTTAGTCTAACTTTATGAATTAATAATTAGCTAACAAGTTCTTTTTAGTTAGTTTTTTGTATATTAAAATTTCCATAAATGTATGTTTTAACGGTCAAAAGTTAAAACGACTACCTTTTAGATGATCAACCTGAAATGAATGAATGAATTTTTTTTTCTGAATCAATACTTAGTTGATATAATGAAGTTTTAGTGTATTATTGTCAACGCATATAAAACAGGTTCAATGACCACCCGACTAGAGATTAAACTCAACGCCTTCAGGTTTTTGGCGAACTCGTTAACTGATGAATCCTATCCTAGAACGAAACAGCTGTTCAGTATTCCCACTTGATATCACTCCGTTATCAATGCTACTTCAGTTGCATTTCTTCTTTGATCGAGAGGTTATTGTTCATCTGATAGTATATGTTAAATAATTCTGTAGGTGTACACGTTTGTGTTGTTATTTAATAATTCAGTTGAGTAGTCGACGATAGCAGTGTTGTTCCACATTGATGAGTAGTAGCTAGAGAAAGTCTTAAAGTCAATTATATCAACATAATTTATATTCATTATCAAACTTTGAATATCCTAGACATCATTTAATCTACGTATACTTTTGTTGAAATAAAATTTACACACTATTTCTTTGCTCAATGGTTTTTTTAAAGCTATTTCAACGTGGTAAAACATTGAATGTATTCAATGTTGTACTGTTCGTTTCTGTCAAACATTTTCGAGAGATACGCACATACAGACTACTTAATGTGATAACTTGGTCTGATTGTAATTGTCTTAAGCACGTGATTCTGTCAGTTTAGTTTGAATGCTGACTTTGCAAGTGATTCTGCTATATACCCTCTAATTTTGCATAGCTTTTGCATGGTGTTTTGCCCATCATCTTAAAATAACCTACATGGCTGCTTTCACACCGTTACTAGTTTTCCTCACCTCTGATCTCAAGACTGAACTCTCATTGGTTGTTAACTATCTTAATCTTTATATGGATTTAGTGTTGTCAAGGTCATTTGGAAATATATGTATATTCAGCGTCACTGCCGACTGTACTGACTGTTGTTGAGACAGCAAAAAACTCTCTGTCAACGGTGTCTTCTCTTTTTGTCTTTGTGCGTCGGTGGTATTGTTGTTGTAGTGGTGGTGGTTGACGTTCTGATTTACATTAGAGTCGATTTGTTTGCGCGTTAGGTTCCTGTCGTCCCTAGTCTACTAGGCTCGTATCATTCATAGTGTTAGGTCGTACTACCGGTCATAGCAGATTTGAAATTCACTCGATTACCCTATACTAGTTTGTGAAGAAGGCAATGATCTACACCTATTGTATGACGGTTATTCATAGTACCTGGCTGCTTAGCAACTTATATTCCTCACGATGGTTCATGGAATTCAACCCTCTCTACAGCTTACAAAAGAACACAAAGTCTGATGATTATCGTTTGTACATTCCAGGTGATCTGATTCATCTGTATATACAACTCATCATTCTTTTATAAGGATTTGAAGCACAACAATTAGTTTCACTCAGTGTACAGTTATTTGCTAAATATCAGTCATACATAAGTGGATGAGAGATTAATCGAAAGTTATTCAACCAAACTATACAATTATGCTACCAATTACGTCATATGTGAAATGATTTTTAAAATAAAGATAATGATACGATCAATGACATTTATCAGAGATTCACATTTTCCACTTTTCAACTGATACTTGTCACTTAGATGTTAGTTATCTCCTTATCACTTTCTTATGCTTATTTAGGATAATGGAGCTAAACTATGTGCAGTCGATGAAGGTCAAGATCATGTCATATCAATATGGGAATGGCAGAAAAGTCGTAAAATTACGGAAACTAAAGTGAGTTATAGTGTTTATAGTTGTATAAAATATCGATTCTTCTCTATTTTTTTTTCTTCTATAAATCATGTTATGTTTGTCTTATGAAGAAGTTTGTGTTGTTGGTTTATATGCGTACAGATTTTTTCTCACTTTGAGGAAGCTACTGTTACCTTTAAAACTTGAAATTATTGTTATTCAACAGTTTTATACCACGCATCATCAATTAATTGGATGAACTTTGATATATTGTATCAAAGATCTAATTAAGTTGGCTAGACGGTTTGCAGAAGCTTTACTCCTGTGAAGGTATTCACTTCTATTGATGAATATCAGCAAGAAATGGAATCTCATTTTCATTGCCTCTGAACATGTAACACAGCAAGACTTATTACCATCAATAATAAGATATAATCGCTGTTGACAAATGTAACATAACATTCTTAACATTTCAATTTCAAATGGTGAAGAATATTTGTAGCTCAACTGGATGATCTTGATTGTATTGTGTTCTCTGAGCTGTGTTGTTAAGTCATAGAGCTTTCATCGTCTTTCTGGACAACATCATCAGCAATAACTTCAATATGAAGCGACCTGTCAATATTTCTGCATGAGTGATTCAGTATCTTACCCTGACGAACTGGTCTGTGATTGGTTGTTTCCTTTGATTGTTGTGTCATTGAGTGTACGCATTTTCCTGTTGACTGTTCCTCTGCTTCACCTCTTATCTTTCTGTTGTTTATCATTTTTCTCACTAGTTGACGGATTGGGTCTACATCTATACATGTATTGATTGCTGATTAATTCGAATAACAGGCTGTTAGAAATTCTCTGATATTCTTTGTGTTTCCTCTCCCCGTCCAAGACTTCTGCATTGTCAAAATCGAGTGGAATGAGCGATGAAATGTTGTGACGTTTAGTCGTAAATTGGTGTTCATGTAAGACGAAGTTGGAGAGGGGCTACCGCTTTATCCAATGTAGTGTTGACCATTATCGTCGCAGTTGATTTTGTAAATGATATTTGGTTTGTCTTCTTTGGCTGTTGCTTGCTTTGGTCTGCATAGTAGGGTTTGAAGGGAGTTTGTTGGTTTATGAGCCACACCAATTCCAAGTAGTCTCAGTAATTCTTGTCATGATCTCTGATATATTGCTTATGTATGGTAGGATGAAGCATTCGTTGATTTCTGTCGATAACTTTGTAGATGATGTTGTACGGAATGCGCATCTTCTGATGAAGTTTTGCGGGTAGTCGTTCTTCTTTAGGATGGACATAAAGTAACTTTCTTCGTTTCTCCGTAAAGTTGTTGTACTACATTGTGTTCTCTTACACGTAACTGATCTTGTTCGTTGTTGGGTTGTTGCTACCGTAGTTGAGGATTTGGTCAGCGTGTGTTGACTTCCTGTTCACTTGGGTTCCCAGTTTTCCGGCATTTGCCCTACTGACTTAAACATCCAGGAATGGTGATTGGTTGGTTATTTGGATTTTACTTATTTCAAGGAATTATTCATCACGAACTTATGTCAGTTGACAAAAGTACGAAACTGTGTACCGTTGGACTTTCAATGGTTAACGCCTTCTTCACAAGACTCTGAAGGATCAGAGTTCGATCCCTGGCAAGGTCGTGGATGCACATTGCTGAGGAGTATCATCATAGGGCGAAATAACTGTTCAGTTTTCTTAGTCTGCCAATGTCTTGCAAACTTGTATAATTTTTTTTGGGGTAGATCACCCATAGGTAACAGTTTCCAGTGGACATCTTTGTATCTACGTTACTTACATTAAAAGTTGGAGAGAGTCTTATGTATTCACTTGGAGATTATATACATTTGATTAAGTTTATTGAGAAGGCATGTATACATAGATAGCTGTTTGTAATGAAAATGTTATGATGATTATTATCACTGATGTTTGTAATGTTGTTATCAGTATCCTTATTCATTGCTGGGTTATATAATTATTATCTTGTGGGTTAGTCAGTCAAAATTGGTCGATGGTTTTTTGCTGTAATGTTGTACTTTTGAGCAACATAAATATTCCAACAGTACTTGCCTTAATTAGTAGTAGATTTTACCTTTCTGGTTAGTTTGAACCGTCCGATATCTGCTGTCACTGTTGCCGTTTAACTTCGTTATTATGGATGCACTAATGGATATAAATCTAGATACCTTCAACTTCACAGCTTGAATTACGCAGATAACTTTAGCCTGTTAGGTGAAGACACTGACAGGTTCGGATCCTTCTAAACGCCCAGATCTAGTCTGCAACTAATTCCAGTTTAAGAACGAGCAGTGATGTGGTCGAATGCATTGACCACTTATCTGAAGCACATAGTTCTGCCGTTTTACTTTCAACACTGGCTTTGCTCTTGATTATTCTCGAACATATTTACCAAGTCTCATATATTCAATCCATCTACATAATGAGTCATATAATTCCCCCTCTCTCAACCTCGTAAAACAGAACTCAAAATTTAGTGCTTATTTTAGGCCACTTCAATCGTTTGTATGTATAACTAAGTTCAATGATCACATGTCAACATGATTTTCAGAAGTGAAACAATCGATTTGCTGCACGAAAAATGAAATAATGCACACTAATTAATTTCATTTAATAACAGGTAATTATTTCCCAATTGTATATAAGTCGTACAGAAATCGGTAAGCTGTCAATTGGAAAGTTCCGGATTTCAGGTGCACAGTATTGTCAAATAATTTTTTTCCATTTCCTAGCCGATACAACAAATTGAACGGGTTGGTTGCTGACGAAATCTGTGTTGCATTACAGGAGGCTTATTTGGCATTTGCCAACTTGCATCATCTCTGGCGCTTGTGCGAAACATCCGACTATCTGTTTAAAGATGAGCATACGGTGCTGCAGTCCTTTCTGTTCGGTTTATGTGTCTGCGAGACATGACTGCTGAATGTAGAAAATATAAAAGGATTACAGATTTTCGATCATAGGTACCTTCGTGGTATTGTTCGCGTATAATTGAATCACCATGTGAACAATATATTGAGTTCAGACGAAGGGTACTAGGCAAGTCAGTCAATAAGGTTGTAAAGCTTCATCAACTGAGATGACTTCGACATATATTACATATATCGGGCCACCACCAACCTTGACTTTCAATGCTAGAGGGAGTTGGATTAGGCTGGAAAAAGGCTCTCTTGCTTAGTCTGAGCCGTGAAGGTGATGTAGATGCCTGGCTGAAGTCATGAAGACGATAGGAATCAGTGGTTGAGGACCGCTGGTGAGATGGATGAAAATCGGTCACGATGGCACTAAGCTTCATTTTTAAATTCCTCCTTCCCCACACTTTTGATATCAGTTTGTCCTATCCACTTATTCTTTGTATACTACTACATAATGTGGCAAATTGAAACGACACACTTGTATGCGATGTTCTACACTGATTTTGTCTGTCTGTCTGACTTATTAAACGACAGGTGTGCTGGACTTCAGTCTGGTGTCTCACTTATTTCGAACCATCACCTACCTCGATGTGCAATGTTGGTCGAAATAGGGTTTACGTGGAGCAAGGTTAAGGTCGTTCAGACCAAGAGGTGACACACAATTCCATGCAGTATCTGACTGTTAGCTTGATCCGATTAGGAAATTAACTGGGTAATTTCCGGGAGATAATGGTTGCATATTGACCTAAATGTATTTCATATATGATATCTTTGAAAGTTTGAATGTTTCCTCTGACGTCTGTTGTCATATTCTTTCTCCTTTCATACACTTTTCTCCACTTCGTTATCTGTGTGTGTTTCCGTTTCTATACCCGTTTGTTTTGTGAACTCTGCTGTAAAGTTTTGCAAACACCATATGTCCACTTCTGTGCAAAGTTCAACAGTGATTTTGTTTATCAGTTTGCTTTAACACACTCTGAGTCACATTTATTTGGTCAATGCGATATAATGTCAGTACGTGTGAAAGTTACCCAACTACTTTATAAAATTTAACAACCTACTTGGCTTTGTCGCATATAGTGTCTAAATAGGGAAATTTTAAAACTGTGAATCGAGTCAATTCCCATATTTTGTATTATTTGGTGTACAACTTATTTTGGCAGATATCTCTGAATTCTCTAAGGTAATCATTATCTTTGTCAATTTGGATAGTAATTCTTGACCAACTTCTTCAGACGCTTCAGGATACATACCCTCTGGGTATACCATCGTAGTTTTCCAAAAAAACATTTACTGGGATTTTCTCATTCTATATATATATATATATATATATATATATTCATAACGGACTGACATCAGTTGGCGGACCATTAAAAACCTGTGAGGAGTGAACAACTGTTTCGTCCCTGTATGGGACTCCTCAGGAGTACGTACTCACGATAGCGCCAGTGATCGAACTCAGGACCTACACGTTTCACGGCAAACGTGGTGACCATTCACCCACTGGGTCGGAGTTTACTGGTTCGCACTTTCGTACTTCTGTAAATTTGCAATATAACGCAATTAACCATTTGAGGCGTTTAGTTGAAATCCACCTCACTTTTGATTGGTTGACTCCACTAATTACAGCTTCTCATCAGAACTTCGAAACACCCATCTCAAAGCTTTTCACCAATGAGTGCTGTGCAGTAATGTAGTTTGAGGTTTATTGGTTAAGTGAAGGAGATACCAACTGAAGACCTTGGTGGACAATCGCGAATTGACAGAGTTGGGAAATAGCGAACCACTAAACTCCGACCCAGTGGTTGAATGTTAAACGCGTTCGCCGTCAAATGTGAATGTTTTGAGTTCGATCCCTGACAGGGTTGTGAATGTGTGCTACTGAGGAATCCTATACTAGGACGAGGCAGATGTCGAGCGCTCCCAGGTTTTCAGTAGTTCTCCGTGATGAATATTAACTTGAAAATACCCTCCATCAACCTCAAACTACATATATATCTCTTGAGTTACCCAAGTTTCACCTCATTTGCATGCATGTAACTTCACAGATGTGAATGACTTCATTTACCAGTAGGTGAGGAATTATACATTGCTGTATGCTGGCTAGA